TAGGTAGATAAGAGACAAATGATTTTATTCTTTTGAGTTTTTGATGAGCCTTTTACTGAATACACAATTTACAGGAACAGCCTGTTATGCCTTAGAAGGGCTTAGTGAAACAATAGGGCAAATGTTTAAATGTATGTTGCAAAATTGTAGGATACAAGATTAATATGCAAAAGTAAGTCTCTTTTCTATATACCAGCAATGAACAAGTGGAATTTGAAATTAAAAACACATTACCATTTATATTAGCACCCCCCAAAATGAAATACTTAGGTATAAATCCAACAAAATATGTATAAGATCTATATAAGGAAAACTACAAAACTGATGAGCGGAATCAAAAAACAACGAAATAAATATAGAGATTTCGTGTTCATGGAGAAGAAGACTCAATACTATAAAGTTCTTCCCAACTGAATTACACATTCAATGCAGTCCCAATCAAAATCTCAGGAAATTATTTTGTGGATATTGAAAAATTGACTCTCTAGTTTAAATGGGGCCAGGTGCAGTGGCTCACAACTGTAATCCCAGCACTTTGGGAGGCTGAGGTGGGTGGATCACTTGAGGTCAGGAGTTCGAGACCAGCCTGGCCAACATGGTGAAACCCCATCTCTACTAAAATACAAAAATTAGCTGGGCATAGTGGCGGGTGCTTATAATCCCAGCTACTAGGGAGGCTGAGGCAGGAGAATTGCTTGAACCCAGAAAGCAGAGGTTGCAGTGAGCCAAGATGGTGCCACTGCATGGAGCATGGGCAATAGAACGAGACTCTGTCTCAAAAAAAAAAAAAAAAAAAAAAAGTTTAAATGGAAGAGCAAAAGACTCAGAACAGGCTGGGTGTGATGGCTCATGCCTGTAATTCCAGCACTTTGGGAGGCTGAGGTAGGAGGATCACTTGAGGCCAGGAGCTTGAGACCAGCTTGGGCAACATAGCAAGCTCCCATCTCTACAAAAAAATATTAAAAAATTAGCTGGGCAAAATGGTGTGCACCTGTAGTTCTGTAGTTCTAGCTACTCAGGAAGCTGAAGTGGGAGGATTGCTTGAGCCCAGAAGGTTGAGGCTACAGTGAGCCATGATTGTGCCACTGCAACCCAGCCTGGGCAACAGAGCAAGACCTTGTCTTAAAGACAAAAAAGACTCAGAATAGCCAACTCAGTATTGAAATGGAAGAACAAAGTCAGAGGAGTAACACTACCCAACTTCAAGACATACATTAAAGCTACAATAATCAAGACAGTGTGGTATTGGTGAAAGACAAATAGAGTGGAACAGAATAGAAAGCCCAGAAATAGACCCACATAAATATAGTTAACTGCTCTTTGACAAAGGAGCACAAGCAATATAATGGAGAAAAGACAGTCTCTTCACAAATGGTACTGAAGCACTTGGACATCCACATGCAAAAAAGAAAAAATGAATCTAGACACAAACCTTATACCCTTCACAGAAGTCAAAATTTGTCACATTCAGAACTATAAAACTCCTGGAAGATAACATAGGAAAAAATCTAGCTGAACTTGGGTTTGGCAATGACTTTATAGTTGTTAACACCAAAGGCATGATCCATGAAAAAAATAATTGACAAGCTGAACATAATTAAATAATTTAAATTAAATAACTAAAACTAAAAGTCCCTGCTTTGTGAAAGACACTGCCAAGAGAATGAAAACACAAGCCACAGACTAGAGAAAATATTTGCAGAAGACAGATAAAGGACTGTTTTCCAAAACATACAAAGAATGCTTAAAATTCAACAATAGGAACATAACCCAATTTAAAAATGGGCTGAGACCTTAACAGACACCTCATCAAACACAATATACAAATGGTCAATAAGCATATGAAAATATGCTACACATCAGGCCAGGCATGGTGGCTCACGCCTGTAATCCCAGTATTTTGGGAGGCCAAGGCAGGCATTACCTGAGGTCAAGAGTTCAAGACTAGCCTGCTAACATGGTGAAACCCCATTTCTACTAAAAATACAAAAAATTAGCTGGGTGTGGTGGTGGACACCTGTAATCCCAGCTACTCGGGAGGCTGAGGCAGGAGAATCACTTGAACCCGGCAGGCAGAGATTGCAGTGAGCCAAGATCGCACCATTGCACTCCAGTTTGGGCAACAAAAGTGAAACTCCATCTCAGAAAAAAAAAAAAAAAAAAAAACAAGGAAAATTTGACAGGAAAACTATATAGTTTACAACATTAATTAAATATTACAATCTTAAAGGAGAGGAGAAACAAAAATCTCATTAAATGCTTAAAAGGGAAACTGATAAAATTTGAAATAAGGTTTTCTTAAAACTTGAGAAGAGTAAAATTAGAATGAGTAAATTAGGGCTGACAAACTAATAGAAGGAAACTTTTTGTTTTTATTATGGAAATTTTAAAACAAAAATAGAATGAAACATAGAATAGTATTAAGTAAAAAAGAATTTAACAAAAAATAGTATAACGAAACTCTGTGTGCCTATCACTCAGATTTAACAATTATCAATTTATAGCTAATCTTGTCTCATCCAAAACCCCATCTCTACTCCTTTACCCCCATCTGCTGGATTATTTTGAAGGCAATCCCAGACACTATATCACTTGATAGATTTATCACTAAAAATTCCATAATTAGCCAGGCGTGGTGGTGTGTGCCTGTAGTCCCAGCTACTCGGGAGGCTGAGGTGGGAAGATCATGTGAGCCCAGGAGGTGGAGGTTGCAGTGAGCCAACATTACACACCACTGCATTCCAGTCTGGGCAGCAGAGTAAGACCCTGTCTCAAAAAAATAAAAATAAAAACAAAAAAGTTAATGGAAAAAAAAGGCCCACCAAGTGCTCAACATTTAATTAAAATAGACCTACATCACGGCACATCATAAAATTTCAAGATACTGAGGTCAAAAGATCTTACAAGCTTCCAGAAAGGAAAGAAACAGGTTTCAGACAAAAGGTTAAGAATTAGAATGGCACTGTAACTCTCAGCAGCAACTCTAGAAGCTGAAAGACAATGAAACAATGCTTCAATATTCCTCCTTCCAAGTACTAACCGGGCCTGACCCTGCTTAGCTTCTGAGATCAGATGATATCAGGCACGTTCAGGGTGGTATGGCTGTAGATGCAATGCCTCAAAATTCTAAGGGAAAATTATTTCCAACCTACAATTCTATACCTGGCTATGTTCTCGATAAAATAGGAGTTTAGAATAAAAACATCTCAAAGAGTGTGAAAATTATTTCAATGCACCCTTTCTCAGGAAGGTACTGCAGGATATGTTTTCCCCAAATTAAGAAGTAATTCATGAGAGAGAAACAAGAGATGTTTCCATGACAGGAAACAAGAAATCCAATACAACAGAAAAGTGAGGGGAATCCCTGGGATAATGAAAAAGAAAAATCTCCAAGCCAAAAGTGAATCACAGGCATAGAAAATAAACTGTCCATTGATGATTGATTGGAATACAAAAGATAAGAGGGGAAGAAGAATCTAGGATTACTTCTAGGGTTCTGACTTGAACAACCTGGTGAAGCAGCATATAATTAGGTAAGAAACATTAGAAGAGCAGGTATAAGAGCAGGTATGTTTTTGGACGTGGTGAGTTTGAGTGGAGATGGTGAATACACAGTTACCTAGGCATAGCACTGACATTTAGGCTAGAGATGGTCAGTGTAAAGATGGCAACCTAAGTCCCCAAAGTGGAAAAGATCACCAGGAACAAAGTATAGAATGAAAAGAAGTACAGCATGAAAAGAAAAAGGCCTAGGATAGAGCCCTGAAAACACCCAGATTTAAGGGTGAGGCAGAGGAGGAGCTAGCAAAGGAGGGGCCGGGGAGTCAGGAAGAAAATGAGAATGGGAGGGATCATGTCAGCCTAGAGAAGAGACTGCTTCAAGAAGGATGGCATGTTCAATAATTAAGGAAGAAAAAGAGTTTAAAGCATCCAGTGGATCTAGTGACATGGAAGTCACTAGTAATAAGAGCAATAATCTTTGCATATTAGATGATCAAAGATCAAAAATATTTATTTGATAGTTATCAAATAGAGAAGTGGCACCCTCATATGTTGTTGGTAGAAATGTAAACAAGTACCACATTTTTTATAAGCAATTTGGGAATACCTATCAAATATAAAATATAAATATGTATAACCTTTGACCCAGAAATTCTTTCATATATGCCACCAAAATACTGGTCCAAGTGCGCAAAGTACAGGAATGTTCAAAGCAGGCCGGGCGCAGTGGCTCACGCCTATAATCCCAGCACTTTGGTAGGCCAAGGCGGGCGGATCACTTGAGGTCAGGAGTTGGAGACCAGCTTGGCCAACACGGCGAAACCCTGTCTCTACTAAAAATACAAAAATTAGCCAGGCGTGATGGCACACTCCTGTAATCCCAACTACTCGGGAGGCTGAGGCACTTGAATCACTTAAACCCGGGAGGCAGAGGTTGCAGTGAGCCGAGATTGCGCCACTGCACTCCAGCCTGGGTGACAGAGCAAGACTGTCTCAAAAAAAAAAAAAAAAAGTAAAAGTAGCCCGTAATGCAAAATTGGGGCTAGGACGAGGAACTACATCTCTATCAAGTGAGACAGGGTGAATAAATTTAATGAAATAAATGTGTCTGGTGGACACCTAGGTAGCTGCTCATAAATGAAGTAGCTATGATTGTACTAACATAGAATGGTAGCTGTGATACAGTAAGTACAAAAGCAGAATACATAGTTCCCATGTGTCTAACACTGTATATATAGGAATAGATGTGCATATACATTATAACAATATAAATCTTTGTAAATGCATAGATAAAAATATAAAAACTGTTAGAGGTGAAATCTATGAAACAGGATTTGGAAGGCAAAGGACGACATTTACTTTTCCACTCTTTGAAATTCTTTACAGAAAGGTATGATTTTTATCAGTGTTTAAAGAGAACATGAAAGGATAAAAGAAAAAAGCATTAACTAAGCAGAGTCTGGGAGAAATGAGAATGGCCAGCTGTCTGATGCCCTTACCTTTCCTGAGACAAGTTCTTGCCATAGGCTTTGCTGACAAAATCTGTTATTTGAAACTTTGGGCAAGATGCTGTGTCTTTCCCACAGTCTTCAAAGTGCACAGAGAGAAAGAGTTCACTCAGAAGCTGCAGCACTTGGGAGTGGGCCATGTTTCTTGCTGTGCATATGTTTAGGGCCGCATAAAACACTCCCTCCAACCACTTGATCTTGAGGATTATTCCCCCTACACATCAATGAGAAGGTAAATACCAGTTAGCACCACCAAAAATGGTTGCAGAGAACGTAGAATAAACCCCTGACAGTGAATAGCCACCTTTTTGAATAGCCACCTTTTTTTCCAAGACAGGTTGGTAATATGAACCACAAGATAAACATGCCTTCCTGAGCCACAAGCCCTACTTGTGCCCTTTATAACACATCATGTGTTGACCATCCCAAAGGCGGACAGATACAACTAATGTAGACATTGCTAATGGTAAAAAGTGTCTCTAGAATAGTCGTTGCTAATAAGGAGAAGGAACTGGAGAAAACTGCAAGATTAGAACAGGGAAACGCCATTTTAGTCCAACATTACATCCTCCTATTGAAATAAGCTATCTCCTCTTTTGGTTTTTAGTTTGTCCTTAAGACTAAAATGATCAGGCTTCTCAGCTCTTCCTAAGTAGCTCTCCTGCAGTACCTTGTGCCTTACACACACACACACACACACACACACACACACACACACACAGAGAGAGAGAGAGATTTAATAAGACAGCAATGGGCCAAAAGGAAAGTAATTTTCAAAAGAATGCCAGAAATATGTTGAGCCATGACCAGCAGGACTGTAGGGACAGGTAGCTTGAAGAATCGTAGGATCTTGGAGAGCAGCTATGACTTTCTTATTGGCCCCCCAGATGCTGACAGAATCTTCACCATACTGATACTGAGGCCGCAAGATATTGGTGTGGTTCAACAGTAGTTTCAGCCTGGAAGTAAAGCCAAGACAGGGAGTGCAATGCCAGGACTGGAATAAATGACCACATAACCCACTGTGTTTACATCCAACCCATAAACAGACTCCCCCACACAGCTCAGAGATAAATGCGGATCTGGGTCTGTGCTGAGAACACTAATTAATTGGACTGTTCATACACCTAACAAATCCTTACTTATTGAATGTTACGTGCCAGGCACTGGGCTAGAAACTAAGTGTGCAGAAATAATACTTGACACATACTTTCAGTAACTTTTCATGTTATTGACTGATGATTTCTCTTCTCATTGATGCATAAGGAGAATACGTCAGTGTTCAAGTAATGGGAATAAATGTTCTATTGCAATTGTAAACCTTTGTACAGCAACAAAAATGGTTTGTGGGTACTATTTGTGGGTAAGCAGGGAAGTTACAAAGAAGATTGCCTAACTATGTTCTTCTACAGATAAAGTTGCCTCCCCCTTATTACTGGAAATGACCAGCTCTAAGAGGTAGGGGCTACAGTGGAGGTGGGAGGCAGAAGTCAGAGATAGGCAGACAGAACAGTTGTGCCAGTTCCGTTCTCACCCTAACAAGATACCTGGGTAGTGGGACGGCAGCTACAAAGCTGTACACAATGCTGGTCTTCTCAAGGCTGGTGTGAATTTCTACGCAGATATTAGGCAGCTGAGATGGCAAGCAGCAGAGGAATATCACGTCGGCCCAACTCACCAGATCAGCGTTATGGTAAAAGCATTTGATTCCCAGCTTCTGGAGCTCACCTGGGAGGGAAAAAGGAAGACAGAAAGAGCACAGTACTAAGGAGTTTGACCTGAACATCAACTATGGGGAGAGGGTGATCATTATTTTAGCTCAGTAAATCAACCCAAGTCTTGTTGCTCCATAAATCAGAAGATATTCCTTCCTACAGGACTTCTAAAAGCCATGCAGCAATGCCCTAACTCTAGTACTAAAGCAGCAGTAGTAGCTGAGACTACAGGCACATGCCACCACGCCCAGTTAATTTTTGTATTTTTAGTAGAGCTGGGGTTTCACTATGTTGGCCAGGCTGGTCTCGAACTCCCATCCTCAGATGATCCGCCCATCTCGACTGCCCAAAGTGCCAGGATTACAGGTGTGAGCCACCACACCTGACCTACAATTCATCTTTATCTTACTTTTAGATCAAGTGCTAGAATATTTCCAATTTTTTTTTTTTTTAAGACAGGGTCTTGCTCTGTCACCTGTGGTGTGATTACGGCTTACTATAGCCTCAACTTCCTGAGCTCAAGGGATCCTCCCACCTCAGCCTCCCAAGTAGCTGGGACCACTGGTGAGTGTGACCATGCCCAGCTAATTTTTTTATTTTGTGTAGAGACAAGGTCTCACTATGTTGCCTAGGCTGGCCTCAAACCCCAGGACTCAAATGATCCTCCCACCTCTGCCTCCCAAAGTTCTGGGATTACAGGCATGAGCCACCATGTGCTGCCCAGACTTTTTTTTTTAGGAAGAAAAAAAAATCTCAGAGAAGCCTTTTACTCCAATGTACTGCAGGATAACCATGTGTCAGATAATATACAAAGTACTTTACAGTGTCTAAGGTGTAACCCCCACAAGGACCTTATGAAGCAGAAATGAGTAGCAGTCTCATTTTACAGATGAGGAGACTGAGGATTCAAGAAATCATATTACTTTTCCAAAGTTACAGAGCTGCTGGCTTGAGGTGGTGGAAAAGACTAGGAGAGTGGAAGGTATAAATCAGAGGCTGAGAGGAGTTTGCAAATATTTAACAGTTTCTGTAAAGTATATACAAATTAATTTTATTAGCATATTTATAAATGAAGAAAGACTGGCAACTCATGTAGTTGCATAAAAACACTTACTGGTAGTTCTTTTTTTTTTTTTTTTTTTTAGGCTAGAGACGGGATCTCACTATGTTATCCAGGCTGGTTTCCAACTTCTGGCTTCAAGCGATCCCCCTGCCTTAGCCTCCCAAAGTGCTGGGATTATGGGCATGAGGCAATATGGATTTTCAAAAGTATAAACCTAAAGTGTACATTCACATCTGGTGATATGTCATAAATATCATTGGAAAACAGAATATAACAGACATTGGCGAGTGACTTCTTATGTTAACCACTGAGAGTACATGGCAAATGTAATGCTGCGGTTATCTAGATACTGATAAACCTGGAAGAAAGATGATTTGGTTTGGCTCTGTGCCCCCACCCAAATCTCATCTTGGAATTGTAATCCCCATGTGTCAAGGGAGGGACCTGGTGTGAGGTGATTGGATCATGGAGGCAGTTTCCACCATGCTGTTCTCATGATAGGGAGGGAGTTCTCACGAGAGCTAATGGTTTAAACATGGCAGTTTCCCCTGTGTGCTCTCTCCTCCCGCCTTATGAAGAAGGTACTTGCTTCTCCTTCACCTTCCACCATGATTGTAAGTTTCCTGAGGCCTCCACAGCCATGCAGAACTGTGAGTCAATTAAACCTCTTCTGTTTATAAATTACCCAGTCTCAGACAGTATCTTTATAGCAGTGTGAAAACAGACTAATACAACAGGACAAAGTTTACAAAACAGGCATATCTATCATTCTCTCATGTGTTCTCATTCTTTTCACGTGCATAGAAGCTGATGTTGAGCATTTTGAATTCTTGTTTCCTTACACAACACACACTGACATTTTACAACTATAATTTTATTCTAATAAATACATTGCTTTGCAAAGAATATATGTACTTTGTTGAAATATCACATATATTAGTCCTATTGATGGGATAAATATACCTTGACTGGTAAGATTTTTTTTTTTGAGACAGAGTCTTGCTCTGTCATCCAGGGTGGAGTGCATGGTGCGATTTTGGCTCATTGCAACCTCTGCCTCCTGGGTTCAAGCAATTCTCATTCCTCCCCTGTAGCTGGGATTTGAAAGTATGTGTCATCATGCCCGGGTAATTTTTGTATTTTTAGAAGAGATGGGGTTTCGTCATGTTGGCCAGGCTGGTCTCAAACTCCTGGCCTCAAGTGATCCACCTGACTCAGCCTCTCAAAGTGCTGGGATTACCAGTGTGGGCCACCATGCCCAGTTGGTAAGATTTTTTTCTAGTTTCCTTAGGAATATAGGGGGAAAAAAAAAAAAATGGCCAGGTGTGATGACTCACTCCTGTAATACCAGCACTTTCAGAGGGTGAGGCGGGGAGACTGGTTGAGCCTAGCAGTTTAAGACTAGCTTCAGCATTACAGTGATACCCTGTCTCTATTTATAAAACCAAAAAAGAAAAAAAATTACAAATCAATAAGAAAAATAAACCTTGGCACGGTGGCTCACACCTATACCCCAGTACTTTGGGAGGCTAAGGTGAGTGGATCACTTGAGGCCAGGAGTTCGAGACCAGCCTGGTCAACATGGCAAAACCCCATCTCTACTAAAATATTATACAAAAATTAGCTGAGCATGGTGGTGTGTGCCTGTAATCCCGGGTACGTGAGGGGCTGAGGCATGAGAATCACTTGAGCTTGGGAGGCAGGGAGGTTGTAGTGAGCCAGGATCATGCCACTATACTCCAGCCTGGGTGACAAAGTGAGATTGTGTCTCAAAATAAATAAATAAATAAATACATAAATAAAGTAAGAAAAATATGGGTACTCCAACAGAAAATATGGTCAAAAGCACCTCAAAAAAATATGACATAGTAATAAAACCTAAGAAAATAAAACTCTTCTAGTGATTAATGAAAGACATTAAAACAAGAAAATAATGTAAAGCATATTAAAATGGTGATGTTAAAAATGATCCCAGCACTGACCAGGGTGTAGTGAAATGGGTGTTCTTATGCAATGTTGGTAAAAAAGTAAACCTGAAAACCTTTTGGGAGGTCAATTTGAAAAAATACATTAGAAGTTTCTTTAAAAATTACAGATACCTACCAGATGACCCAGCCATTTCACTGCCTGGTATTTACCCAAGAAAAATGAAAGTAGTTGCCCACATGAACACTCATATACACGTATTCATGGCAGCTTTACTTGTAATAGCCGAAACTGGAAACAGCCTAAGTAAACCAAATGAATAAACTGTGGAATAATCATGCAAGGAACTACTACTCAGAAATAAAAAAGGATATTGATACATAAAAAAAACTTGGATATATTTCAGCGGGCATGGTGGCTCACGCCTGTAATCCCAGCACTTTGGGAGGCTGAGGTGGGAGGATCACTTGAGGTCAGGAGTTGGAGACCAAACCTGTCCAACATGATGAAACCCCGTCTCTATTAAAAATACAAAAAATTAGCTGGGCATGGTGGTACATGCCTGTAATCCCAACAACTTGGGAGGCTGGGGCAGGAGAATCGCTTGAACCTGGGGGGCGGAGGTTGCAGTGAGCCGAGATTGTGCCACTGCACTCCAGCCTGGGCGACAGAGTGAGACTCTGTCTAAAAAAAAAAAAAAACAAAAAAAACCTTGGATATATTTCAAACAAATTATGCAGTGTGAAAGAAGTTAGACTAAAAAAACACTATATACTGTATGATTCCATTTATATAAAACTCTAGAAAATGCAAACTAATCTATGGTGACAGAAATCAGATTGTTGGTTTCCTGGGTGGAGAGCTACAGGGAAGTGGACAGAAAGGGATTACCAAAGACAAGGGGCAACTTTTAGGGGTGATGGGATACGTTCATTACCTTGTGATGGTTTCACAGGAGTATACGTGCCAAAACATCAAATTGTACACTTTTAACTGTGTGCCATTTATTGTATAGAAATATTTTAGGGCCGGGCACGGTGGCTCACGCCTGTAATCCCAGCACTTTGGGAGACCGAGGTGGGCAGATCACCTGAGGTCAGGAGTTCAAGACCAGCCTGGCTAACATGGTGAAACCCTGTCTCTACTAAAAATACAAAAAAAAGTTTAGCTAGTCATGGTGGTGTATGCCTGTAATTCCAGCTACTGGGGAGGCTGAGGCAAGAGAATTGCTTGAACCTGGGAGGCAGAGGTTGCAGTGAGCTAAGACTGTGCTCTCCACAATCTGCACTCCAGCCTTGGTGGCAGAGCGAGACTCAGTCTCAAAAAAAAAAAATTAATAAAGCTGTACCAATTCTTTGACCTAATAACTTTATTTGGAAAATTATGTACAAGGAAGTTCAACTAAATAAGGTACAGTTAACATAAATTATAGTACATCCATACTTTGGGATACTACACAACCTTAAAATCTTTTTTTTTTTACATTAATCTCTTACTAATATAATTAACATTTTAAATCCTGAGATGAAAACAGAGCAAGGAAGAATGGTGTAGGGTGTCTGGTGGTCTCAGCCACTGCTGGGCACAACTACAAAGTCTGTGCATCCAAACACCAGATACAGCAAGCACACCCTGCTAGGGAGAAGCAAGGGAGTGTGCTCAAAGCCTGCTGGGGTAACCTTCTACTGTGGGAAAGTGGAGGGGCTTAAAATCATTATTTCTTATTGATTGATTGATTGAGACAGAGTCTCACTCTGTCACCCAGGCTGGAGTGCAATGACGCGATCTCAGCTCACTGCAACCTCCACCTCCTAGGTTCAAGTGATTCTCCTGCCTCAGCCTCCTGAGTAGCTGAGACTAAAGGCACCCACCATAACACCTGGCTAATTTTTGTATTTTTAGTAGAGACTGGGTTTCAACATGTGAGCCAGGCTGGTCTCAAACTCCTGACCTCAGGTGATCTGCCCACCTCGGCCTCCCAGAGTGCTGGGCTTACAGACGTGGGCAAATCATTATTTCAAAAAATGTTAAAACAATATGAGAATATGCTCATGATACATTATGTAAAACAAGCAGAATACAAACAACTATATATAGTGTCAATTACTGATACAGAGAAAAGAAAACATGGGAAGGAAATGATAACCTGAGTAGATTATAGGTAGTTGTACCCTTCCTTATAGACAAATTTTCTACAATATGCATATTATTTTACATTTTTTATTATTGAAATATAATTTACATATAATGCAACACACAGATATGAAGTATATAGTTTGATCAGTTTTGACAAAAGCATACACCCATTTAACCCATACCTCTCTCAAGATATAGAACATTTTCATCTTCCCAGGAAAAGTTCCTTTGGGACTTTCTCAGTCCATCTCCCCAGAAGAAATCATTGTTCTGATTTCTATCACCATGAATGGAATCATTACAAAACCTTTTTTTGTTTGTTTTTTTTTTTGAGACGGAGTCTCGCTCTGTCGCCAGGCTAGAGTGCAGTAGCGTGATCTCAGCTCACTGCAACCTCTGCCTCCTGGCTTCAAGCGATTCTCCTGCCTCAGCCTCCTGAGCAGCTGGGACTACAGGCACGCGCCACCCCGCCCAGATAATTTTTGTATTTCTAGTAGAGACAGGGTTTTACCATGTTGGCCAAGATGGTCTCAAACTCTTGACCTCGTCATCTACCCACCTCGGCCTCCCAAAGTGCTGGGATTACAGGTGTGCCCACCGCGCCCGACCACAAAACATTTTTTAAAAGCCAGTAAATGTCATTTTTAAAAACGTAAGGCCAACTGCAAATGCCTGGAACTGTATAACACCCAACCAGACCCTAACTGATTCAGTCAGAAGATCTGAACTCTGTATGGAAAGCTTCCCTGTATCAAAGATCCAGAAAGATAATTCACCACCAAGGGCACAGGGAGGAGAGATGGATATAAAACATATACATGGAGGAAAAAAGTTGCTTTAAAGAACAAGAGAGAAAGTTATGCTTCTAACTTTTCTTAGGTAGTAAGCTGAGAACTCCACACGCTGTATGCAAGGACTCCTCTTTGGAGGACCCTTTCAAAATGGCTTTGTTGACACCTACACAGCACAACCAAGCCCCCTTTCTCCCACACACCGCTGCTCACCCAGAGCCTCTGGCCTCCGAGTGGAGATCCGCAGGCTTTCAGCAGGGACGGGGACGAGCTGCAGCAGTGTGCCAGCCAGCTGCTTCCCAAGGTGGCCACCTCCAATGATGCCCACCTTAAACTCTTCAGGAGTGGCTGCATTAAGGGAGTCAATTGAGAGATGTCTGGAACTTTGATTCTCATTTAATGATGCTCTGGAGAATGAACACACAGACACATACATAAATACGTGCACACACTGTAGTTCTTTTTTTTTTTGAGACAGAGTCTCGCTCTGTCACCCAGGCTGGAGTGCAATGGGGTGATCTCAGCTCACTGCAAACTCCGCCTCCCAGGTTCACGCCATTCTCCTGCCTCAGTCTCCCCAGTAGCTGGGACTACAGGTGCCCGCCACCACACCTGGCTAATTTTTTGTATTTTTAGTAGAGACGGAGTTTCACCATGTTAGCCAGGTTGGTCTCCATCTCCTGACCTCGTGATCCGCCCGCGTTGGCCTCCCAAAGTGCTGGGATTACAGCCGTGAGCCACCGCACCCAGCCTAGTTCTTCTTAACTGTCAATCTCTGATGTTTTCTGCTTTGTCATTTAAGGTGCTTGGTGGCACCTTAAGTACTTCGGAGATAAGGCATTTCAACTGTGTGTCATTTATCCAGCCTCACTAGGGAATGAAATGTTCCTCTTGAGTTAATTTTCCAGAAACAAAAGTATAACCCTTTTCAAGGGACCAAAATTTAAAATGTTTTAAATGAACATACTTTGTTACATGTATTATGCTTGTCTGGTTAAACAATCTGAATATTTAATCATTTCACTGGCTCAGTACACCATTGTGAACAGTCACTATTATACAGCATACTTTAATGTCTATAACACATTGTGGGCCAGTCCCCTCATGTTTTGTTTGTTTCTGTGCAGACATCTGTCAATTTTTTTTTTTTTTTTTTTTTTTTTTTAAATCTTGGTTAAAAAACACAGGCTGGGTACAGTGGCTCCCATCTGTAATCCCAGTACGTTGAGAGGCCAAGGCAGGTAGATCACTTGAGCTCAGGAGTTTGAGACCAGCCTGGGCAACATGGTGAGACCTCGTCTCTACAAAAAATACATGAATTAGCGAGGCATGGTGGCGCACACCTGTAGTCCCAGCTACTCCAGAGGCTGAGGCGGGAGGATTGCTTGAACTCAGGAGTTTGAGGCTGCAGTGAGCTGTGCTCGTGCCGCTGTACTCCAGCCTGAATGACAGAGCAAGACCCTGTCTCAGGAAAAGCACACACACACACACACCCACACACACACACACACAGCATGAACTTTACTATCATAACCATTTTTAAAGTGCACAGTACAGTTGTGTTAATTATACGCACATTGTCCCTAGGCATGGTGGCTGATGCCTGTAACCCCAGCACTTCGGGAGGCCAAGGTGGGTGGATCACTTGAGGTCAGAAGTTTAAACTGGCCTGGCCAACATGGTGAAACCCTGTCTCTACTAAAAATATAAAAATTAGCCCAGCATGATAGTGTAAATCTGTAGTCTTAGCTACTCAGGAGGCTAAGGCAGGAGAATCTCTTGAACCTGGGAGGTGGAGGTTGCAGTGAGCCGAGATCCACTACTGCACTCCAGCCTGGGCAACAGAGTGAGACTCCATCTCAAAAAAAAAAAAAAAATAGCTAGATAGATAGATAGACAGACAGACAGATATAGATACAGATATAGTTGTGCAACAGATCTTTAGAACCTTTCCATCTTGCAAAACTGGAACTCTATATGCTTTTTTTTTTTTTTTTTTCCAAGACAGAGTCTGCCTGCATTGCTTGAGCTGGAGTGCAGTGGCACAATCTCAGCTCACTGCAGCCTCCACCTCTCACATTCAAGCAGTTCTCTGCCTCAGCCTACTAACTAGCTGGGATTACAGGTGCATGCCACCACACCCCATGCCCAGCTAATTTTTGTATTTTTAGTAGAGATGAGGTTCTCCATGTTGGCCAGGCTAGTCTCAAACTCCCCACCTCAAGTGATCCGCCCACCTCCACCTCCCAAAGTGCTGGGATTATAGGTGTGAGCCACTGCACCCAACCTGAAACTCTATACAATTTTTCTCTCTCCCCAGCCCCTGGAAACTACCATTCTACTTTCTGTTTCACTACTTTAGATACCTCATATAAGTAGAATTATGTGGTATTGTCTTTTTATACATGATTAATTTCACTTATCATAATGTCCTCAAGCTTCATCCATATGAATTTTTGGATTTTTTTTCCATCTTCATGAAAAATGTCATTGGGATTTTGATAAGGATTGCAGTGCATCTGTAGACGGCTTTAGGTAGTATGGACATTTTAAAACTAAGTCTTCTAATCCATAAACATGGGATGTCTTTCAGTTTGTGTCTTCCTTAATTTCTTTTAACAATGTTTTGTAGTTTTCAGTGTACAAATCTTTCATGCCCTTATTAAGTTTATTACTAAGTATTTTATTCTACTGGAGGCTATTGTAAATGTGAATTTCATAATTTCTTTTTCAGGTTGTTCATTAGTGTACAGAAATGCAACTAATTTTAGTATGTTGATTTTGTATCCTGCAACTTTGCTGAATTTGTTTACTACTTCTAACAGTTTTTTTCTTAATGGAATCTTTAGGGTTTTCTACATGTAAGATCATGTTAGCCTGAGCACAGTGGCTCATGCCTGCAATCCCAGCACTTTGAGAAGCCATGGTGGGAGGATTGCTTGAAGGCAGGAGTTAAGAGATTAGTCTGGGCAACATAGCAGGACACTGTCTCTACAAAAAAATTAAGTTAACTGGGTGTGGTGGTGTGCACCTGTAGTGTAGCTACTCAGGAGGCTAAGGCAGGAGAGTCACTTGAGCGCAGGAGTTCAACATTATAGTGAGTTATGCTCATGCCATTGCACTCCAGCCTGGCGGATAGAGCAAGATTTTGTCTCAAAAACAAACAAAACATGTCATCTGTGAACAGAGACCATTTTATTTCTTGCTTTCCAGTTTGGATGTCTTTTATTTCTTTTTCTTGCCTAATTGCTCTGACTAGGATTTCCAGTACTTCAACAGAAGTGGTAAAAGTAGGCCGGGTGAGGTGGCTCAAGCCTGTAATCCTAGCACTTTGGGAGGCCGAGATGGGTGGATCACGAGGTCAGGAGATCGAGACCATCCTGGCTAATCCGGTGAAACCCCGTCTCTACTTAAAAAATACAAAAAACTAGCCGGGCGCTGTGGTGGGCGCCTGTAGTCCCAGCTACTCGGGAGGCTGAGGCAGGAGAATGGCGTGAACCCGGGAGGCGGAGCTTGCAGTGAGCTGAGATCCGGCCACTGCACTCCAGCCTGGGCGACAGAGCAAGACTCCGTCTCAAAAAAGAAAAAAAAATAAAAAGAAGTGGTAAAAGTAGGCATTTTTGCCTTATTTCTGATCTTAGAGGAAAAGCTTTGAGTTTTGATATTTTTTTTTCTTTTTTGAAACGGAGTCTCGCTCTAACGTCCAGGCTGGAGTGCGGTGGCGTGATCTCGGCTCACTGCAACCTCCGCTTTCCGGGTTCACGCCATTCTCCTGCCTCAGCCTCCTGAGTAGCTGGGACTTCAGGTGCCCGCCACCATGCCCATCTAACTTTTTATATTTTTAGTAGAGATGGGGTTTCACCGTGTTAGCCAGGATGGTCTTGATCTCCTGACCTTGTGATCCACCTTCCTCAGCCTCCCAAAGTGCTGGGATTACAGGCATGAGCCACCACGCCTGGCAAGCTTTTAGTTTTTACCACTGAATATGATGTTACCTGTGGGCCTTTCATATATAGCCTTTATTATATCGGGATAATTTCCTTCTATTCCTAGTTTGCTGAGGGTTCTTATCATGAAAAGGTGTTGAATTTTGTCAAACACCTTTTCTGCATCAATTAAAATGATCATGTGATTTTTGTTCTTCATTTTGTTAATGTGATGCATTATATTGATTGATTTTGCATGTTGAATCACTGTTGCATTCCAGAAATAAATCCCACTGGGTCATGGTGTATAATCCTTTCTCTTTTTTTTCTGGGACAGGGTCTCGCTTGGTCACCCAAGCTGGAGTGTGGTGGCACAATCACAGCTCACTGCAGCCTTGACCTCCCAGGCTCAGGCAATCCACCCACCCCAACCTCCCAAGTAGCTGGGATTACTGGTGTATGCTACCACACCTAGCTAATGTTTAAAAATTTTTTGTAGAGACAAAATCTCATCATATTGTTGCCCAGACTGGTTTCAAACTCCTGGGCTCAAGTGATTCTCCCACCTCACCGTCCCAAATTGTTGGAATTCAACAGGTATGAACCATTGCACTTGCCATATAAATCTTTTAATAAGCTATTGGATTCAGTTTGGTAGTATTTTATTGAGGAATTTTGCATCTGTATTCACTATGGGTATTAGTCTGTAGTTCCATTATTTTTGTCTGGTTTTGGTACCAGGGTAATGCTGGCCTCATAAAATGAGTTCAGAAGTGTTCCTACATCTTCAATTTTTTTTGAAAGAGTTTGAGAAGGATTGTTCATTCTTCTTTAAATGTTTGGTAAGGCCAGGTGTGGTGGCTCATGCCTATAATCCCAGCACTTTGGGAGGCCAAGGCAGGCAGATCACCTGAGGTCATGAGTTCGAAATCACCCTGGCCAATACGGTGAAACCCCGTGTCTATGAAAAGTACAAAAATTAGCCAGGCGTGGCAGGCGCATGTAATCCCAGCTCAGGAGACTCGCATGAACCCGGGAGGTAGAGGTTGGAGTAAGCCGAGATCACGCCAATGCACTCCAGCCTGGGTGAGAGAGCGAGACTCTGTCTAAAAATATATAAAAAATAAAAATAAATGTTTGGTAGAATTTTCCAGTCAAGTCATCAGGCCTGCGGCTTTTCTTGGGAGTGTATTATTATTTTTGAGTCAATCTTACTAGTTATAGTTCTGTTCAGATTTTAAAAATTTTTTCATGATTCAGTCTTCGTAGGCTGTATGTTTCTAGGAGTTTTTCTATTTCTTTGAAGTTATCCGATTTGTTGGCATGTAATTGTTCATGGTAGACTCTTAATCTTAAGATCCTTTTTACTTCGACAGCATCAGTTTGTTTGTGTTTGTAGAAACAGGGCGTTGCTTTGTTTCCCAGGCTGGGATTACATTTAATGATGCTCTGGAGAATGAACACACAGACACATACATAAC